TCCTTTGTCTGGATTGCAGACAAGAGAAAGGAAGCGTAAATGATTGGTTGCCACGTGGCATGCCTGGATTTGATATGGTTTTTGAAAAGATTGCGTGGACGACGGACAACTCGTTAAATTGTGCGCCTTTTTCCTCTCTGAAGGAGTGATGGGTGCTATTTTCTTCAACCCTTTTCTTTGAATTGCCTCTACATTTGTATCCCTGAATTCTAAATTCGCTGTACTTCTCTATTTCTATCTGGGTCTGATGTAACTATTCGAACAGAAAAAGACCCCCTTATCAGAACAGTCTGAATTTTGCATGTAATCCAAATCTTTTCATCATTTTAAATTGGTTCCAATAATAGCTTTTTTTCCTTCACAAATCTCTAGAATTTACTACACTGCTTTATCTTTCTCAGAGTTGTAAACTAAGAATTAATGGTAATTTCACATTAGCAAGGGATCAAAGCTTGCAGTGGTGAACTTCTTTACTGTATTTTCACTGATGGGTAAGCTTCTGATTGGACCAACTTACTATAATCAGATTTATTAGATGAAAACAATAAGAGTTGCAGCCTCTGATATCTAAAATCTCTTCAGTATCATCCACCAAGTTAGAAATCCCATTACAGAAGCTAACCCACATTGTTTAGCTTGCTGAAAATGCAGACATTGGTTAGTTATTTTAGAGCAAACCGTTGCGAATGAACTTACTAGAAAAGGGAAATTTTGAATAGCTGAATTTTCTATATGTAGAACAAATGTAAATGGGTATTTGGATCCATACTTTAAGGTTAGGTAAAAGATGTGGAATTGCTGAAAAAGAAAAAGTGTCATCCCTGTATGTAGGATTAATTTGGGGAATATTGTTCAGGGGAAAGCTGAACAGCAGATGGATTTGACATGGTGGGGTGGAATTTGTTAGGGAATCATTTAAGCATATCTCCCACTTTTGCTCCTTTTGCCTGTCTAATGTCCAATACCCACTATACATCTTTTCAACACTTTCTCAAGTTTTCTCTGCTTTTTTCATGGAGACTACACAGATTATGAGCTCACTTTGTTCTTCAATGGGGCTGATCATTTCCTAGCACAGGGGTCCAGCTTTATTATTGAATTTGGATTTCATTCTCAAACAATTCTCATAACCCCATTTTATCAGCTCTTTTTGTCCTTCATCAGTAGTTTCCCTACTTCCGTGATTCACATAATAAAACAAGGCAATAAAGGATAATTAAATTGGAATTTAATTTAAAATAATTAAATACTTTCTCTGGCCAATGCTTGGAAAATGACAAACAACACCCTTGCTCCTCAAAAATTGCAATTGGTTGGCAGCTTTTCTGACACATGAATGAGAAAAAAAGAGAGGCCAAAATAACAGAAATAAAAAACAAAAAAATAATAGAAATTGAAAAAATAAATAAATAAAGCAAAGGGCACCAGCTGCTGAGCTTTTCTTGGTTGGATTTGTTTTTGTTCAGTTTCGAAAACTCCACAGCTTTATTTAAGTGAATGCTGGATTCATCTTCTACTCTGTCCTTTTATGATTTTCTTAGAACTTTTATTTAAAACAATCTGTCCTAACTAATAAGATAAGGATAAAGGAAAAACTGACATACTGGGCGGAATTCATATCTTCCTAGAAGCATTCAAAGGGTAGAAAAAGCTGCCCTTAGAATTTGGTTCTTAGTGTTTCATGATTGAGCTAATCAGAAAAAAAATAAATTAAAATAAAACTAGATTTCTCTTATCTTTTTCTCTCTGCTGCAACCCTACAACTTACAATTGGTGCTTGGCTTTGGAGGCAGGCATGGGTCATCCCATATATGTTGTCTGACCCTCAGCTCTCTACCCTTCACATGGTCTCTGCTCCCGACATTTTCAAACAAATAATATAAACAGGATCACTCCAAAACAATCCCATCAGCAGTCTGTAGTCTGCACTTTTTGAGCCGTTTTACATGGTTTTTGGCCATTACTGACCCGAACCATGAACCCACATGGTCTTTCTCACTGTTTTTGAACCGTTATTCACCTGGGTGGTTGGATCGTTCGGCCCGAGAACCCTTCAGACAATCAATTCTGTTTCACCCTTAACCCATTTATTGGCCAAAAACTATTGACTTGATCAGCAATCCACTGACCTGGGTGGTCGAACTGTTGACCTATTTGACCCAGACAAATGGGTTTTAGTCATTTTTTTAATTAGAATAGACCATCCAATTGAACCAAACAATCAGACCACTGACCTGAAAACCGGTAGCCAAAGCGGTTCCGATTTCAGGTCAGTTTTTAAAACATTGGTGTTTCTTGGTTGGGCTTGCCCAATTCTAACCGGGGCTGAATTTGGGTCAGGCCATGCAGCAAGACATTCTTCAAAGCTGACCTGGCTTGACTTGACAAGACCCAACACAGCCTTTAATATATATATTCTCTTTTCTAGGACCTGTTTGGTGCTGATCCACTTGATTTTTCCCATATTTAGCATCAATTTTGAATTAAAACCTTCCATTACAGTCCTTGTCCCCTTAAGATAATTAGAGGGGGTACAATAAAGTTGTTTATGAAATAACTTTTTTTTTTAGGGTGAGCCCAAATCGAGCCCATAACCTAAAGTTGAAGGGCTTTAGGTCCTATTGGCTAGGGCACAGGGCTCCACCCCTGGGTCCTTAGATTGTGTATGGAACCCATATTTGCTACCCATCAACTACCATGTCTAATGCATCATTCATTGTTTTCCCCCTTCTTTTTAGACAATATATATTATTATTTATTTATTGTTCGTATTCAAGCATGGACCAAAACTAAGACCTCCACGTAGGGACCCCTAGGGCATACTAACTGCCAGGATACAGGTCCCAATTAATGAATTAATACTTGAACTTTTCTCATAATTAGATAAGAAAATTGCAGATAGATCTTTTATGTAATTTGTTAATGAGTAACCAGTTTATATATGGATGGACACTCAATCGAGTCATGAGTTCAGATCTCTATCTTATCTTAGTAGAAGAGTGAGTCTTGAGCCTAACTCAAAGTCTCAAATGCTAAAACTCTAAGGCTTGATGTGAATTTGTAGGAGCTTGGAGGAGCACATGGCCCCAATTTGTCTTGGGCCTATTAAGACAAGGTTAGGAAAGGTGCCCTAGCGTGGGGCACCCTTTGCTGGGTCGACCGAAGCATATCTCCCCGCCAAAAACGGAGGAAGAGGCCCCCAAATAGACAACCTTGTTCCCATGTGCACAAATTTAAGAGCAACCTTCCAAGACACCAACCCCATTTTGTGCCCTCCTCTTCTCACCCAATATCATTTCTTGGAAACAAGGAGGAGCTTGGGACTTACCTTCTCTCCAACCAGAAACAAAAAGAAGATAATCTCTCTCTCTCATGATTCTTAATACACATTTAATTATTTAACTGTATTATATACAGGTAAGGGCTTCCTATATTGACATCCCCAACAACCATTAAAATATCGATACTTGAGGCGTATTGTATCTGTATCAGTATACGTATTCAAATATGTCTGGATATATCAATATAAAGGCATTTTAAAATTTCTAAAGAATTTCATATCTCCAGACCCTCTAATGATTATTAAATAAAAAAAAATTAAAACAAATTGAGTATCAATCATATCGATACGTCGTTTCGGTGCATATCAATACTTTGATCCTTGATCCCAATACACATGAATTCTATTCCTACCTTTCGTGGGACCTTGTCTCAACTAATAGGCATCAAAAGTTTCAATGTTTCAATGTAAAAGGACGAAAAAAAAAAAAACTCCATACAGAAGAAGGGTGTAGTTGGTCATAGCTGTTGGACTGAAACTTGATTCATTAATAGGGGGTGGAGAAGGGAACATGTGGAGCCCCTTTGGACCCATAAAATGCTGCCACATGTAAAATTCTTCTCTAATTACAGATTTTCCTCCTACGTAATGGTTTGGTCTCCCCCAGATCTACAGCCATCTTAATTTGCAGACACGTTTGAGCTACGGATTTCTCCATGAAGGAAAATTGCAGACTATCGGTTAAAGGAGTCCCAAACCTGCTTTTGGCAAGACCACCATCTTTGGTTCAAGTATTCAGACCCTTCCACGTTTTACAGCAGAAAATGTTGAGACAATGCCTTACTCAGCCATATGCAGAGCTATAATGGCCACTGGTTTGGTAACGGAAATTAGACAGTTACCCCAAATGGATCCATTAGGTGAATATTGAGCTTCTACTTTTGGACAAAATAAATCAAGATACACAGAATAAAGAGCTCAAATAAAGCTGAAAGTTACTCATTTCTTCTAATTCATCAACCTCTTTTAATATGATGAAAAAAAATTAATATGGGCAACCGTTTCAGCTTCTATTTTTGGCAAAAGAGAAATCAAGGCAGATATCAGAAGCTAAGTAAAGATGAAAGCTATTTATTTCTTATAACTGCTAAACTGCATTCATCCACTCTCTTACACTCAATGAATAAAATAATGTAAAGCTGATGAACAGCTAGGTATTGCTGCCTCTACAACAAAACCTGCTTCACACTTCTCTCAATATCTTATATGAATTCCTCTTTTTTATATGGTAAATTTAATCTCTGCTGGTAGAATTCATTGCAATCTTATCAATTCTCCTGGGACAAAAGAAGTGAGGGAATTTATTATAGAAACCATTTTATGAGATTCTACCTAAGATAGTTTTTATATAGAGGCATAAATGTATACAAATGGACACCTCATGCTTCTCTGTTATCCCCAAAATCTTGTCTGTTTTGGGAAAATGGACTACTTAACCAAAATCTCCTCCTCACACCTAGAATGTTAATATTCTAGTGAAAAAACCCTAAACTTCATTAATGACCAGCCTACCGTTACCTTAGAATGGAGGATATGTCTGTACAAATGGGGGTTTATGAGGGCAATCCTGTCATCAATGGGTTAAATGGATTAAATACACCTCATTCGTTGACCCTTAGAAACTCCAATGGCGGCCCCTAAGGCGCCGGCCTTGCAAAGCCTCTCAGCTCCTATATAAAGCGCATAGAACACTCCAAGTTCTAACTCACCCACCTCTCTCTCTCTCTCTCTCTCAGCAACAGAAGAGAAGAAAGGATATATACAAAAGATATATAAGGAGAAAGGCTACGAAGTAGTAGAGAGGAGAGGAGACTGTTGTAAGCAAGGTTTAAACATGGAAGAGAACTGGTTTTGGCAGCCTGTTTTAGTGTTCCTGGTGTTGGTGTTGGTTTTGAAGATCATGGGTCTGCTTTGGTGGAGACCCAGAAGAATTGAAGAGCATTTCTCAAAGCAAGGAATCAAAGGACCCCATTATCGTTTCTTCGTTGGAAACGTTAAGGAGCTTGTGGAGTTGATGTTGAAGGCCTCATCTCAGCCCATGCCTCTCTCACACAATATACTCCCTAGAGTTCTCTCCTTCTACCACCATTGGAAGAAAATCTATGGTATTTCGTCTTTTATATCTTCATGGTTCATTTGATATCCCTTCTTTCTTTCTTTCTTTCTTTCTTTCTTTCTTTCTTTCTTTCTTTCTTTCCCTCCTCAAAATCTGAGGAGAGCAGTCATTGTGCTATTGTGGTCCTCCTCCTTCATTCCTTTTGTTTTTCGCCCTTAATGAATGAGGTAAGGTTGGTGATCATCATAAACACTGTTTTCATGAGGCTATTTGAACAATGGAATTTATGGTCTTCAAGCTTTCTGAATTGGGTTTTTGAAAGCTTCCAGTGTCAGTTGTTTAGTTTGTGATGGAAATTTTGCTTTTTCTGAGCTATCAGTTTTCTCTATTTGTGACATCTCCTTCTAGCTATCAAAACAGACTGAATTAGAGTTCTCTCTTTTTTCCCACTCTTTGGTCTTTCCAAGCTTGTCAGGCTTTCTTTAGCCTTGAACTAGGCCGTGGGTTACAGCTGAGTTCTTATTGCTCATCTGTCTCTTCTTTCTTTTGCTCCAATTTAGTACAGACCAACCTTTCACATTTAAATTTTTCTCTGGGTTGTTTTAGTGGTATATATAATTATGAAGTGGGATCCTCTAGATATTCTTCATTGCTTCTTCTGACTCTTCTTCATGGAAATCATCAACTCAACTCTTGTGTGTTAAGTGTTGATTAGTTTTTATGTTTTTCCTTATTTTATTTTATTTTGATCTAAATGAATCTGAATGCTGATAAAGAAGTTGAAACTGTTTGGTAGTGGTACAGTAATGTCTTGTCCTCTTCTTTAATTTCTCTCTCTATTTTCTTTCTTTATTTTTCTTTGGCTCTCTCTCTCTCTCTCTCTCTCTCTCTCTCTCTCTCTCTCTCTCTCTCTCTCGCTCTCGTAGGGTCTACTCTATCTACCCATTTAGCCATTTTCACTTCGAACTCTGAAAGTAGTGGTTGTAATGTTTCCTTTTATCTTTCCTCTTTTCGAACACCCATATCTACCATTTGAGCTTGTGAAGTGATTTCCTACTTGGTTTGTTGCAGAGAACTGCTTTCTTCAGTGCTGCAATATATACTGCTTCTAGAGCATTGGAGTTCTTTTCTTCTCTGTAATCTTTTCCATTTTATCTGACATGGGAACTCTGGCTCGTTGCAGGTGCGACCTTCCTTGTATGGTTCGGTCCTACACCTCGTCTCACAGTCACTGATCCAGACCTCATTCGAGAAATCTTCGCCCAGAGATCAGAATTCTACGAGAAGAACGATTCCCACCCACTCGTCAGACAGCTCGAAGGTGAAGGACTATTAACTCTGAAAGGCCAGAAATGGGCTCACCACAGAAAGATCATCTCACCAACCTTCCACATGGAGAACCTCAAAGTAAGTCCAGAAGGAATTCAGAAACAACAAAAGAAATGACCAACCCATTTAATTTTCTCAGCTTTATTTCTTCCATTACTGCTATTAATCTCTGTTTGCGTTCTTCTAAATCAGCTCTTGATACCGGTGATGGGAAAGAGTGTGGTGGAGATGTCGGAGAAGTGGTCAGAAATGTCGAATTCCGGCGAAGTGGAGATCGAAGTTTCCGATTGGTTCCAGACCTTGACCGAAGACGTCATCACCCGAACGGCCTTCGGTATAAGCTACGAAGACGGTAAGGCGATTTTCCAGCTACAAGCCCAGCAAATGCTTTATGCCGCCGAGGCATTCCAGAAGGTTTTCATCCCGGGATACAGGTACTTAATTCATTCCTGAATCAATCTGCCTTCTTATCATTAACACAGTCATTAATCAATTAACAAATTAATAAATCTTCTCAAAATAATATAATAATCCAAAAGAGAGGCTGCAGGATTTCCGAGGCCTCAAGTACGTTTAACTCTACGGAGCTGTAATATCTTAATTTTTCTTTTCTTTTTAAATTTTTTCAGATTCCTGCCCACGAAGAAGAACCGGAGTTCTTGGAAGCTGGACAAAGAAATAAAGAAATCTCTGATGAAGCTCATTGAACGCAGAAAAGAGAACTCTTGCAACGAAACGCCGGATGGAGGCAGCAGCCCAAAAGACCTACTGGGGCTAATGATCAAAGCAAGTGAAAACGAAACCACTCGAACAATGTCCGGTTCTTCTTCTTCTTCTAATTCTCCGTCGTCGACGATCACCGTCGGCGACATTGTTGAAGAGTGCAAGAGCTTCTTCTTCGCCGGCAAGCAAACGACGTCGAATTTGCTGACGTGGACAACTGTTCTGCTAGCAATGCATCCAGAGTGGCAAGAGCTGGGGCGTCAAGAGGTCCTGAGGGTGTGTGGGCCACACGACATCCCGACCAAAGACGACGTCGCTAAGCTCAGGAAGGTAAGAATTAAATTGCCAAAATACCCTTTAAAAAATCCACCTAGAAGTAATTTCGAAAAAATTTTGGGCGGTTTTTGGAAATTTCAATGAAAATGAGTTGGGGTTTTGAACTTTTGACTCGCAGCTGAGCATGATACTGAATGAATCGCTGCGGTTGTATCCACCTGCGATCGCTACGATAAGGCGGGCCAAGGCTGACGTGGAGCTCGGGGGATATAAGATCCCACGTGGTACGGAGCTGTTGATTCCGATCATAGCCGTTCATCACGATCAGGGGCTGTGGGGCAATGACGCAAACGAGTTCAACCCCGCCAGATTCTCCGATGGTGTGGCCCGCGCAGCGAAGCATCCAATGGCATTCATACCGTTTGGGGTTGGGGCCCGCACATGCATTGGGCAGAATCTGGCGATCTTACAGGCGAAGCTGGCGATGGCGATCATATTGCAAAGATTCTCCTTCCGACTTGCACCGAGCTATCAGCATGCGCCAACGGTGCTGATGCTCCTCTACCCACAGTACGGAGCTCCGATCATCTTTCGCCGTTTATCGAGCCCCACCGCCTCCACGGATCAGGGGTCCTGACTCCTTAATTTCGAGCCACTGCATCTGCGACACAGCAGATCCTTTCCCTTTAGTCCTTTACCTTTGCAAGTACATCTTATGTTTCCGGTAACTAAAAAAAAAATAGGTGCTCGGAATAGAATCATGTGTACTTTGCCAAAAAGACCACTTTACCCCCGAATATTCCTATTGTGATACAAGCGGCGCCTCCGTAATATAAGCACTAACCTCTCCCTCAGTCCCTCTCCACTGCCTCCATTAGTTATAAATCTTTCCATCTGTGTAAAGTATACACCCTATACAAATTTTGTAATTTTACATATAAATGAATATTACATGCTTTCCTCTCTCTCTCTCTCTCTGAAATGTGTCCTAACCAAATGATTTTGAAAATCAAAGTGGGTTGGTTGATTGGTTGAACCTAGTTCAACCAAAAACCATCAGAGTGGGTTGGTTGGCTGAACCTGGTTCAACCAAAACCAGACCATTCCCTTTTTAATTGAAACAAGAGAATCAGAAAATCAGGATCTTTTGAGGTTGAACCACCAGCTGAATTAATATGGGAAAATCAGGATCAGCCTACCTTAATCATGGTTTAAAAGAGGGGTTCCATCAAGGACATATTGCCCATAAGGTTAACTTAAGGTCCTTTCAAGGTGTCTAAAGCCTTTTATTATGGGCCCCACTTATTAAGTGGTGGGTCAATGCTTCTTCATTGCATGGTGCATTAAAATAATGGCGAAGCCCTTCCATCCCCATAACCAATGAGGGAGATCATGTAATTACTTGGCTGAACAACTGATTTCTTACTTTCTATTTTAATTTTTTGCTGAATGAACAACTGAATTGAAGATGATTCAAATTGGAAGACAGATCCCTGTAGACTATAGATGTTTTATGCTTATTAAGAATCCTCAAACGGAGCACAATGAACCAAGAAAGCAGTTAAAACATGCCAAAATTTCCCAAATTTTGATAACAATAATAATATAAATAATGCATGCCATGTACTCCATGCATGATAAACTGCTTGTAATCTTCAATTTATTATTTTTATTTACACGTATTAACCGAGACACGGCTCGGTTTACATCATAATAATTAATATAATTATGGTATTTTTATGTTATTTTAATTACCAAGAAAAAGTAAAAAAATAAAAATTGAAAAAGAAATGAAAGAACCCTTAGCTTTGCATGACCCAAGACATAAAATTTATTTTGGGAGTAGTAACATACTTCCTTCTCCCTTCCTCCCCCTAAACAAAGGAGATTCTGATAGAATCACTTTTACATTCTCCTTTATAGGGTTTAGGGCTTTACTTACAGTGCAGTAAGCAACTGTTATGGATGGAAATAAAAAATAAATTAATCTTTTCTCCCTTTTGTGGGATCGTCTTATGTTCTTGGAGCTGTGATTTTGTGGTTTTGATAGCCCCAAGAAGCATGTGGTTAGGGGGATTTCTTTTCTCTGTCATGCTTAGAAGAATTCCTCTACATAAAGAAGCACAAAGCATTAAGCATGCCATGGAGTGCAACATCTCTTACATAGCATAATTACCTTATAAGCCCACTTATTAATCAAATCCTTAACCACCTTTCTAGCCCCTTCTCTCCCCTTGTGTCAACAGTCATGGGTGAATTAGTGGCGATAATTACCTGTTTATTCTTCCTTATCACAACGATTATCTCGGAAGGTGTGCCACAAGATCACAACAAGTTAAGGTTATTTTATAATGTTTTGCTTGTTATCATTCTAAATGCATCAGGACTTCACTCACCTACCAGTCTAATTCAATATGTATATATGTATGTATGTATGTATGTATGTAGAGAAAGAGAGAGAATAAGACATGTTAAGGGGTCATCTAATAACAACTGAACTGAATCACTTATTGCTTTGTCTTCGAAGATATGGTAAGAAACTCAACATCAACTTCAACTTCAACCATTAAGGTACTTGCAACCTCCTGAATGACTGAATGAATGTTCACTAAAAGACAAAGCAATATTAAGCCATTCAGTTCAGCCAGTTCAGCAGTGGCCTCAAGAGCAAGATAAGGGAGTAGAGGGAATGAGGTGAATGGTATAGTTTATTAGATACCAGAAGATCTTGTAAGATTACACAAGAAAGATGAGGATACGCCTTTACAAGAAAACACATAATTAATTAAGTTAAAGCAATGAACTCCATCTGAACGAGAGCCGGGCTACAACCAAGCCTGATTAATTGATTTATTAATCAAACTGCAAATGGGATTAAGCAGCTAGTTGCAGAGATAGAGGAAAGCCCCAATAGGCCAAGCTTGTGGGGTATGAGCAAGCCAAACATACGAGGAGAATCGTGCCCATTGGTCTACTAAAAACACCCCGACAAGGCGGCATGAATCAAGGGCAGACATGAGTATTTCAATTGCTTTGGCATGAGAGCAACAAAAGGGGACAACATGGATTAAATAAAGAGCTTGATTAGAGAGGACTCTGCTTCAACCATGGATCTGAGGGATTACTGGGGATCTGTTAACGTGGTCTCATGTGTAATAAACGTATTTATAAGCTAAGGGAACTGGCCTAATCCAGTCTCAAACTGCGTGCTAAATTCCCAGGTTTATCACAAGTTTTAAGAGAACCCCAGATAGGAAATCAGCAAGTGTGTTGCTTAGTTTAAGGTTAGGTGAAGTTTTAGAATGGATTCTGTAGATTTTAATGGTGTAATTTAAGGTAATTTGTGTTATGGGTCCTGTAATTTAGGTGACTAAGTGGTCCAATTTGCTTAAGTAATACTATTTGTGTTATGGGTCCTGTAATTTATTTTCTTGCTCTGGAATTAGTTGGGGTGACTTGGTCCTGTACTCCTGTATACAGGGTGCTGTGAAATGCTGATTCATTGATTAGCTGTTGTGATCTTCTGGGACACCTAATCAACAATCTCATAGAGTTGACAAGGTATGGAGACAATGCCTAGATAATATAATAGAAGCCCGCTAAWGTATAGCCTCTGATTTTAAAAGGAAGAATGGGGTTAGACTTTGGATTAGAAGGATATAATCAAATGAAGAGGAAAGTAGAAGGGAGTGATATGAGTTTACTTTTAGAAAAGACAGAGGGTTTTCCTCCAAAACAAGCCTTTCTTTAATAATTAAATTTACTTGTAACTCTCTCTCTCTCTCTCTCTCTCATGACTGTTCTTTAGCTGTAACTTGGATAAGGGGATCATCACATGGGGATATCCAATCATCAAGAGATCCCTAAAGAGACAAGGCTCGACAATATAACTGTAGTATTTCATTTGTAAGCTGTCTAACTACCACAGCCAATGAGAGAGAATTCAGTTGAATTCTAATAAATGAAAAGGAATCAAGTACCTAATATACTATTGAAATGGATATGGAAAAGGACACCATGGATGTGAACTCAACAAGAAGGCTGTTTTTCCCTTCATATTTAACATCTATATTTTGTCGGTATAATATCCATACTTTTGCAAATACCCTTTCCATCAAATTTTAAGGGAAAACTCAATAAACAACTGAAAGAATTTATTAGTATCACACCATTTCTCTAAAAACTTAAATATATAGGAATTTAGGATTATGGGTAATTAAAAACAAGTTGTAAGGATTTTTTGTAATAAAACTAATAGGTACTAAGGGAGAGGAAGATGAAAAATGGTATTTTTCATGGGGATATCCAATCATCAAGAGATCCCTAAAGAGACAAGGCTTGACAATATAACTGTAGTATTTCATTTGTAAGCTGTCTAACTACCATAGCCAATGAGAGAGAATTCAGTTGAATTCTAATAAATGAAAAGGAATCAAGTACCTAATATACTATTGAAATGGATATGGAAAAGGACACCATGGATGTGAACTCAACAAGAAGGCTGTTTTGCCCTTCATAAATTTCTCAAGCACGTTTTGGTYAYATTTAACATCTATATTTTGTCGGTATAATATCCATACTTTTGCAAATACCCTTTCCATCAAATTTTAAGGGAAAACTCAATAAACAACTGAAAGAATTTATTAGTATYACACCATTTCTCTAAAAACTTAAATATATAGGAATTTAGGATTATGGGTAATTAAAAACAAGTTGTTAGGATTTTTTGTAATAAAACTAATAGGTACTAAGGAGAGAGGATGATGATAAATGGTATTTTTTTATATAATAATACGATAGTATGATGTTTTGCATTTATGAGGGGCATGGTAAAAAGTTCCTCTTATTGAGTTCACATCCACCGTGTCCATATATATTTCAATAGTATATTAGGTACTTAGATTCCTTTTCATTTATTAGAATGCAACTGAATTCTCTCTCATTGGCTATGGTAGTTAGGCAGCTTACAAATGAATAATATATTTTTATTGTCAAGCTTTGTCTCTTTATCTTGATGATTGGATATCCCCATGTGGTAATCCCCTTATCCAGGTTACAGAAGAACAGTCATATGAGAGAGAGAGAGAAGTAAATTTATTAAATAAAGGCTTGTTTTGGAGGAAAACTCTCTTGTCTTTTCTAAAAGTAAACTCATACCACTTCCTCCCTTTTACCCCTCTCTTCTTCATTTGATTATATCCTTCTAATCCAAAGTCTAAACCCATAATACAAATTATCTTAAATTACACCATTAAAATATACTGAATCCATGGTGAGAGCTTGAATACTTGAATATTGGGTTGGATTAATATTAGGGTTTTAACATATTCTGGCATATCTGAAAATCGCCCTGAAAGAAATTAATTCATTAATGGTTGTTGTAGCATTTGAGAAACCAGTCCAGAACTACAATTTTAGATGATGGTAATTACCAAAAATATTGGGTGACAGTCTCCTCATTTCCTAAAAAAGAAACAAAACAAAAGAAGAGCTCATAGTACCATCTTGCCCCAAGTACAAATATTCAATTTCAATGTAATGTTGATGCTGATTTAACAACTCAAAGAGTCAAGAACTACGAAACGAAGCCGTTTTTTTAGGTCAATACACTGAATTTTGTAAATTTGGGTCTTTAAGACTGTAAGGCTGTTGGGTGCCTACTTTCACATGATCGAAGTCAGGAATCAGGACCATGAGCAGGACCACAGCACTGGGTTCCATGGAGGCAAGACAACGCAGTCCCAAAATCAACCCAGAAGATGGTCCTAACGGTCTCATCCTTCCAACACAATAATATCGATTCAGTGCTGATCAATGTTGGCTTCAGTCGAATAGGTCCAGGAGAGGCTGGACAGGGCTATGTCAAAGCCAACACTGATAAATCCGAAATGGTACTTCATGCCCAGTATTGCTCTGTGACATTTAACTAATCGAACCCTTCAATAGAGTTCAAAATTATTGGGTCACGCAATACCCCACCTGATTCGTTGTTGCTTTTTAGCTAGAACCAGAATGGCAAAGATTTCAAAGGCACAATAGATTGGCTGGGTCAGGCTGAAGGACAACCTCTATCTAGATATCTCTATCTAAATCTTACGAGTGGAAAATTGGGTTTAAGTGAACTAGCATTGGAGTATGGTGTGGATACTAACCGTGACCCAGACCCAGTATCTACTTATCCATAGGCGCAGAGCATGGACAATTTGCAGTACACCTGACAAAATAAAAGTTCAACCAGTGCCCCATCAATGATCAATCTGTAGATACATTTCTTCAAAGTATCAATTCATTTGGCACATTGGCATACCGCATACTCTCTTCATGCTGCATTTTGTTGAAGTTAGCTCAATCATCTGTTCCAATTTCCAACACAAGTTCAGGTAAGGGTCTCAGGTCCAGACCAACTAACCATGGCCTAGTCCAACCCAATCTAAGCCTAGTCCAAAAAAAAAAACAGCGTAAAATATTATATTTAGCAAACCAACCTATTTTCCTTTTATCTACCAAATCTTGATAACTTGCCGTCTTCAAACAATCAAACCTTAAAAAACAATTAAATCAGAAAGCAGGAACTGAAATTCCGAAGACAGTCTCGAATGACAAATTGACAATAGAAACGAGTAAGATGGGGTGGGGGGGGCTCACATGAAACACTAACCAATTAGGACATGCAGGACTTTAGATCTGGTTGCAGAAATTATCGGCCCACTGGAGATAGTTCCCATGTGTCTACATTAGTTTATCGTACATTTTCCACCTAGTCTTCAGAGCATGCCAGGAGTCGGCTCGCTTTCGAACCAGAATCATCTGCGCCCGTGGACCCCCAAACTCAAGTTTATCTCCCGCACATAATAGCATGCCCCCACTTTGGCCGGCATTACAAAATAGGCCGCAATTTGCATTCAGAGCGGTTCATGGGATTCCACAATTCACACCATCCATCGCAGCTCAATATAGAATCTACATGCCCAGGAAAAAAGGTTCCTCTGAGAAGTAACTTGAGATATCATAAAACAGCAAAAGAGCATCTGCCATTAACCGCTTCATGACTTGGAACATCCTCCCAGGATTTCAGCTTACTAACAGGCACTCCACTTCCTTGTTTGATTCACCTTGTCTGCAACAAGTAAAACTATGAGAAGGAGAAAACATAAAAAAAACTGACATACAGGCGAATGCACGCATTCCCCAATGTTAAGAATATAAACCGTTTATTTAGGGGATCAGAATCTCCACACGACAGTTCACTTTAAGTTTTTTTGCCACCTCTGGTGAGAATAGCAGATAAGTACTTCACTGAAGTTTATCCTTCAGATTTACATTTGACATGGACCAAAGGGCTGAAACTAGAACATAACTGTTTACCTGCCCCCTGTTATTGGAAATGAATCTTATCTTTTTCCTTCTTTTATTATTCATATCAATTGTAACACTCATCTTCTTTAATATTCACATCAACTGGATTTCTTACAAAAAAAAACAAAAAATCAATTGTACTTGGTTTATCCAAGTTTCTCAACGTTAGGCAATAAATTCCAGTAAAGATCAGTGGCTCAGCAATTCTGTACAAGCTGCTAAAGCAATAAAAATGTGTATCATATGCAACAAATTCAACACACTGGAAATTAGGGCTGATATACAACAAGCTGCTTTAAACTGTGCCTCCTAAATCGGTACTTTTCCAGTTATGGTACCAGGACCTTGTCCATGGTGCCTGATTGCGTTGGATACTTCAATTTTGTTGTGTCGGGCACCTCCAGCTGTGTTTCTTGTCAATTCCAAGTGACAATTTTCAAGAATGGACGGACATTTTTGTAGATAGAAACAATCCAACATAAATACATATCAAATAGTCTGACCATCGTGATGTGGTACTGTTATCTAAGCATGTTAGTTGTTTGTCCAGGTAAGGGTGTCAATGGACTGGTTTTGGATTGGACCCCGTCCAGTCCAAAATCAATTTGGACAGAAAATCAATTTGGACGGATTGGATGGACCAACAAGACTATTGGATTGGACCAATCCAGTCCAAAATATTTATTAGATTCAATTGGACCTGTTCCATCTGTAACAAATTTATATTGGATTGGATTGGATTAAGCCAATATCTGGTCCATTAATRTAAGATAAGAATATATGTGTCAATGGACCGGGTTTGGGTTAAAACCAATCTAAATCAAAATGAATTTAAACAGATTGGATGGTCCAGACATTGAATTGGACTGGTCCAAAACATTCATTGGATTGGATAGGACCTGGTCCATTTATAATGGGCTCACATTGGACTGGATCGGATTGGACCAAATCCAGTCCAATTGACACCCCTATGTCCAGGCATACCATGTAAAATTGGATGCCTTACACAATCATCTTCTACCACATTTGAATCAAATATTGAATGCCAGCATGTTGTCCTTTTGTTACATGCTATGTTTGTTTGCAGTGCAAATCTAAACCGAATGCATATTCTGCACAAGGTTCAGTTCTGCATCTGTTTATTTGTGACTGATTTATACACCCATCTGATACAAAATTTGTACTGTCTCATTTGCACCAACTGGCAGTGCAAATTTGGCATCTCATGCTTAGGTTTGGAATGGGTACAAATACAAATATAAAGAGTGCAAAACCTTGTATTTTGTATGTATTTGCACTGTACATATTTGTATTTGTACTCTTTCCAAACTGAGCCTCAAAAACTGATTACAAAATTAACACCACCTTCCTCATAACCTCAATTCCTCTCTCGTATAAAGTGGAGTCAACGTCATCTTGCTTCCTACTGCATCCCAAACAAATAATTATCCTATCCCATTATCTTCCATATAAAGTGGGGACCACATCATTTTATTTTTCATTTGATTCAACAAACAAATAAGCCAAAGTCAAATCTGAAGAAAAAAAGTATATCAGAATTTACACTCGTCCTATTTGCACTACCAAGCATTTACACCACCAAACTCAGCCTAGTGTAAATGCAATAATGCAATGCAACGAATAACAAAGAAAGACAGCAGCGAGATGATGATGGAACGAACATCAAACCTTAAACAAGGAAGCAGCTTCCATCTTTGAACTCAGCATGATAGGCAACATTTGCCCCACCATCTATAATGGTAAATCTGCCTTAATCATATTGTTGTGTGACAGTTTCTGAGCCCTACAAGTCGAAAAATGAAAGCAAAATCATTGAAGGTGCAGATGTTCTATACAATATACAACATCCCTTGAATCACGAAAGGCAAAGAAAAGAATAATGTATAAATTGGTTGGCATTGGTGTCAGATGCTAGAAGACAATTGCTCAAGAGTACCTTAACCTACCGCATTGCATTATGCTATTATACAACATACAGAAATTTAACAAGCTCCAAAGATGCTGAATGAATGCCAACTATTTGGAAGTGAAGCATGTTATCTTATGCATCCAAATCAAGAGGAAACACTGCATCAATTACATAATATTGCCAAAATTTTCTTAGTTATATTTACTTTATACGAAAAAAAAAGGTTAGCGCTGTATCCAATCCACCCCTCCCAAGACCAGATAGCTGGGACCAACATTGGGTAATGGCCTTTGCTTCTGGAGATGTATTTATTTTCTTAGATATTGATACTCTAGAGAAGGGAATATAAAAATGAAACGCAGGAAACTCATGTCATAGAAAGTAATACACTTGTCTTAAATGGTGTTTCCAGAACTTAAAAATCACCATTGGACTTGTTTTCCCCAAGCCCTAACCCAGGTGTTTGGTTTCCTCTTGATTTCTGGATATTTCTTTCAAAAGTTATATCAACATTTAAGCATAAAGATGTATTGGAAAACCTTGAAGCCAAACAACTTTTTGACTTTCTATTTGCAATTGACTTCTGCTAACTCCATCTTGCCAACATATCAGCCACACTTTGGCTGATCACTGTGTCCATTCCACCATTTTTTGTTTGACAAGTCCATTCCACCATTCTTTTTGGGTAAATAGAAATTTCCTTTAGAAAAGAAAAACACCACTAGGTGGGGTGTACAGCATCATAGTTGACCTGAAAAAAAGAAGGCCATAAAAAAGGGTTGTGACTATCATAACAAGAAGGTTAATGGGAGCTTAGAAATCATAAGAGAAAGGTGCTGAATTTGAGGAACTGGCTGCTAGTATTCATTTGGTTGATAGATGGGCAAATGGTCTAGCAGATACTTCATCTAGACAACAGTGCACAGAGCTGTAAGGGGCTTTTCAACTAAGGGAAGGAAAAATGTAATGGGGTGGGTAGGCTGGGGCCTAAGCCTATATGAGTGAATTTTCCTTTTCTGCATACTGTATGTTGTATCACTATCATATATTCTTTGACAGATTAACAAATTCAACTTATTTGGTTGCTGATCAAAGAAAACAATGTAGCCAACCCCATATAATTGGGACAAAGCTTTACATGATGCTGTTATTTGGTTTCTGAACACACGCACACACACACACAAAAACTGAAGAGATGAGAGATGAAAGCCTAACATCTTGAGCTATTCATGAGCCAAATATTTTTCATGTTTGGCATGCTAGAAAACACATGATTCAAACATCTACCCATGAGATCAATATCAACCAGAACATTGAAATTGGGGTTCAAAGGATTCCTCTTGACCTTCACCACTTCATTGTCTCATTGATCACAGCTTTGGCATCAGACTCACCTGCGTTTTGGATCTCCATAAGAACTGTCTCAAGACATCCAAGACTAAGCACCTTGGCCTCAGCTTCAAAAACTAATCCACAGAACTCTTAGCTGCTCTTAGCCAGCAGGAGAGAACCTGAGCTCAATCGGATGACACAAGCAAGACTACCCTTTTTTGAGGTTTGATCATAGCCCACCTTACAGTTCAATTTAAACAACTCCTTAGGAGGGAGGGTCCAGACCACTTCAGACTCTTCAGATTTAACCAGTTCCAACATATGGATCAGAAACTTGTTAAGCAAAGTCACAGTCTGCTGAACAATCAAGACGGAGTTGGGCTGAGAAGCATTGAAGAAAAGCTCATTTCTGGTTTTCCATATTTGCAAATATATGATAGCCATTAATGCAAGCTGTTTTTCTTTTTCAACCACTAGTAATGGAGCTAATTTAACCAAGATCCTATTTCTATCTTTTCATCAAAATGCCTTATGATTATATCTACAGATCTCATGGTACGTAGGCTAGCCAAATCAGACAGAAGTTTCTTCACTACGTTGGCCTTCAAACACACAYACTCAAACAGAATTTTAAATTTTTGGTTGTATCCCAGGGCTTGGCTGGTGATGATGGTTTAGGTTGTTTTCTTACTCAAGTCAGTCTGGCTTCGGTGGGCTGCCATGCCAGATAATATCCAGATCAGTGTTTTAAAAGGCATGGGAGGCATACGCCTCCAGGCAAGGCACTCCCAAAACACCCTGACGCATATGCCAGATGTGCTGACACCTCTGAGGCACGCCTCAGGTGCAAGAGGCATACGTCTCATGCGCTTTTTTTCATGAGGCGTGCTAGAGGTGTAAACCTCATGCACATCTTATATAAAAGGACAGAAAAAAAAAAAGAAAGGAAAGGAAAGGAAAAGAAAAGAAAGGGAAGGGAAGGGAAAGAAAAAGAAAGAAAAAAAAAAAGGAGAGAAAAGAAAAGAAAAGGAAAGGAAAGGAAAGGGAAGAAAAGATATGGGGAAAGAAAGTGGTTTGCCCCCTGCCCCTTCAGCTGGGGGGCTTCGCCCCCTTTCAACTAATGCTATGCATCTTTATTCTTCTTAATATAAAAGATTTTTATTAAAAATAAAGAAAAAATGAGATCCCCCCTTCCTCTTCATCCTCCTCCTAACCCCCCTCCTCTGTGTTCAGGAGGCTTACGCCTCTTGTGTTCTTAACTACACCTCATGCCTCTAGGTAGTGGAACGCCTCGCGTCATGCCTCCACATTTTAAAACATTGATCCAGATCTAACCTAGTAATCCCCAAACCTGGAGTGATCCCAAAGGACAGTGTCTTCTTGGTCTTGCAAACTCAGAGAATGGCTATAATAGCCTAGACTTCCTCCTTGTTGAAAATATTTTCTTGGAACTGATGGTTTCCATATAGCCAGGCTAGGCAGGGTGAGTTATGACACTTGGGTAAAGGGCAAAAGACTTGGATGCAGAGATTGGATTGTATATAGTTTGGGGGGGATGGCATCCAAAGGTCCTCCCATATTTGAATTGAATGTTAATTCCCATACCACCTCTCCATTTCACACCCTTCTTGAGAAGATCTAATCCAGATTGAATGCTTTGCCAGCTCCAAGATTAATTGGATCTCACTCTTGATTGRAGGAGGGATAAGGAGGGGTAATGGATCCCAAAGAGAGCTCCAGTCTTGAAGAAGCCTCCATTCAAGTTATGCAAGCAGTGCTTGGTTGAAGGGTTTTAAGGTCATGGAAACAAAGACCTCCCAAGAATTTTGCCCTGCACATTTTGTTCCAACTTTGCCCCACACTCCACCTATATGTTATTGTACTTTAGAGATTTTCCAAATCTTAGACTATCCAGCATAGCAGTTAACTTTCCCTAATAGAATCCCCATATCAAATAGTCATTGCAATTGAAACGTATTAGACTTGATCTGATGAGTAAAAGTTTAGTTAGTCAATTCTGGTTGTGACCATGTCTCACTCTCTCTCTCTCTCTCTCTCTACTGTATATTCTAGCAACAAGAACCCTCATCTTTTCCCTATTTCATAAGTGTTTCATTGTGAGAATCTAATTTCCTATTCATTCTTTGATAGACAATAAACTGTCCACTTGCCTTTCCATCATTATCATTCATCCATAACCAACCAAATCCTACCTTCAGCCTATAAAGCCCACCACCAGATGTCAGTGAGGACTGAGGATTTCTCTAACTTTTCTTAAAAGAAACTGTCATGTTTTATGGTATGGTTTATTTTTTGAGAAAAGGTAAAGTATCATTTGTATTAGTATGAACAAAAAATGTACAGCAAGATGATATATTCAGGAACCAAGACAAGCTGTTCCCCCTAACCTTGACCTCCACCCTGCTTTACAAAAAGATTATCCTGTACAAAAAAGGATTCAAAAYCTACACCCTTAAACAACCTGTGACCAGCCAACCAAGAGAACATCTTTCCCAAAGTTTTCTGGAAAATAGAATCAGCACCAGAAAACCACTGCTGGGGTTATATTCCAGACTAATTTTCAACTTTTACTCATCCCTTCCACCCTCCAACCCTTTACAAAGTCCTCTACTGATCCTGGGCAGCAAGCCAGCAACTTTATACTTGAAACAAGTGTCAAATTCTGTTCCAAATCCCAAAGGAGAAGCTGCAGTGCAGAAAAAGGTGATCCACTGTTTCTAGCCGTCCTTCACATAGTACACTACTAGCTAAGCCCAGTAATGAATCTTTCCGGGCAAGGTTGTCCCTTGTAAGTATTCTGTTGAGATAATCTATCCAAACAAAGAAAGATATTTTTGAAGGCATGTTTTTACACCAGATGGTACGAGCTGCAACTGAATGTCCTGCACTGTCCAAGGCCTTATAAAAGGATTCAACTGTGAAAGCACATTTTATGGTATTGTTTATGGTTTACATCCTTTTAGAAACTTCTCTTTTTCTTTTTCACTGTTTGGCAATCCATATATATATATATATATAGAGAGAGAGAGAGAGAGAGAGAGAGAGAGAGAACTATGGTATTGTTTTTTTCCCATTGTTTGGATCCATCTTCATAATTTGGTCATCAAATGCAAAAACGATTCATGATTGAAAGAAGAGTAATTCCTTAGTACTATAAAATTAACAAGGCCCAAGGAACTATTACCATACAGTGTTCTGTTGTTGACCCATAGAAAAGCTTCATCAACCAAACCAAGAAAAAAGTTGTGTAAGTCTATGCTGTTACAGTTCCTCAAGAAACAACAGGTATCAGGCCAACATCGGTAGTAAAACATCCAAGATTGCATGAATATGGCCTCTGGGTCCTTTAAATGGTCACACTTTTTAAGCTTATAGTGGGGGTAGGCCATCAACTGGATATGATCCACAGTTCCTTGAGATGCCATGGGCATTCTGCCCACCTCTCTAATATACAACCATGATTGCAAGGCCCTGTGGCCTCCAGGTCATTAGGTAGAATCAGACCATAATGTTTAAAGTTTGGAGGCAATCAATAGAACAAGGAATCCTTAGATTGGAGATGGGATGGATATGTCCATGTTCATGGTCCTTGATTAGTTAGCAGGGCTGTATAGCACTCTAAATGTATTCAGTTCCTTTAATCATGCAAAGATGCAAAATTAACAGACATGCTCAGTGCCCGCGAGGACTATTATGGCCCCCTCAACTATTCTTTAATTTATGCTAATAAGGGTAAATTCAGACAAACTGAAAAAAAAAAAAAGTTTCCAGCTTAAAGAATCATGTCAACATGAACCACTTCACTGGTTCTTTTAAACTAGTACAAAATTTAATTAAGCAAACATCATTTTTGCTTTTGTTTTAGCACTAAACCTTTCTTTTATTGGAAGCCATTAGCTTTTATTGATTATGAAATAAAGAATAAATAACATGCAAAACACACCAAGTATYCCCAAAGTTTTAGTCTGGCATCTGCAGCCTAACCCGTTCTTTTTCCATTTTCATCGGTGTTTTTAAGGCACAAGGCGCAAAAAAAAAAGTGCAAGGGCCATATTGCACCCGAGGCACATGACAAGGTGTGTGCCTTTCTGAAGTAAGGTGCAAAAATGCAAAAAAAAAAGGTAAAATTTTTCAAAAAAAAAGCCAAAAAATGCAAAAATATTAAAAATATCAAAAACAATATTGATTAAAAATATAAACTTAAATTTTAAAATAAATGTTTTAAAAAACCTATTATCTCAAATTAAAAACATAACATGTAAAACATATTTAAAATGAAAATTTTAAAATAAAATCAAGCATAGCATATAAAACATATTCAAGCATGTAAACTCCTAATCTCTTTATTTTTTTCCCAATTGCATTAGTTCAAATAGCTAATGTGATGTTTATGCATTCCTGATTTTATGAGCTGCCTTTGTACCAAGCTCCTCAAGGCAAGCCCAAACAAGTCCATATCAGGGTCTTGAATTTTTTATTCCTATTAAAAAAAGACTTTTGTAGCTTTAAGTGTCTTTTAAAAGGCACATGCCTGGCCTGAAGCTTAAGGCACACCAGGTGCATACCTTCTGAAAGTGCTGCACTTGGGACCTAGACGAGGCACATACCCTAAAATGCACCTCGCTTGTGCACCTTTTAAATCACTGATTTTCATTGTCTGCTTAATTAATTGGCCCCAAAACAATCAAGCTTAGCCAGATTGTTTGCTAATACATGCTGATATATGGACCCAGGAGACTCCTAGTTCTCTTGCCGAAACTCTTATCTCCCTCATTGTGCTTTGGTACCTTCATGTTCCTTAACTGTTTGATGTAGGATCAGCTCAATTCCAATCCTTTGAGAATGTTGAATGATCTCCCTTGATCAGAAATTTATGGCTGTTGATGGCTGTAATGGCTTCTTGAAAGAACAAAAAAGAAAATAGAGAGAAAAGAGAGAAGAGAGAGGGGGGGAGAATACCCTGACTCACTCATGGGGTGCCTAGAATCACTCTAGAGTATGGGAATCACTCACCATAATAAGCATAAGCTCAAAAAAAAACACTCAAAATTTTTCATTTATTCTTGTGTAAAACGTCCATACATATTTATAGACTGCAGACTCTCAAAAATCCTAGGACTCAAAAACTGTAGACTCATAAGAATCCTATCAAGACTCAAACTGAATTGCCATTGTCCTATTTCAATTCAAACTTTCAAAGAAGACTTAACAAGTGTTAAACTACGTATTCAATGACTCTGAAACTTTAAAAATAAACTATAACTAGACAAATCAGACCCATCATTGGACCCCACAGAAAAATTGTAAACTGGTGAAAATACCCCTACTGTCCAAAAATACAAAAATACATAAGATTTCAGAAATTTCCAATTTTTACTCCTTAGCCCCTGCATCACTGATGCTCTTTAACAATTACTTAAGAATCCCCTTCTGCCATCACATTCCTCAAATTAAGTAATCTTCCTCTTCCCATCTGCAAACCTAGTAGTTTCCACCTCTGTGGTATCCCCATAACCTATGGGCCCAGTATATGGCCAAAATAGTCCCAAAATAATCTTTAAATAGCCCTCCTATGCCTGAAGGTCCAGGATTAGCCAAGCTACACCCATCAAGGTTTTTGATTTGACATACAACTGATGCTGCCATAGTAATGAGACTTGAAGCTATGGATGTAGATGAAGAGACAATCCCCTGAGGATGTTATCCCTGGAGAAGGGGTGTCAAAACACTAAATTTCATTGCAGGACCTCTTAGATTCTACAAGTTCCCCTTCTAATGAATAAGATCTCAAAATTCTTCAAAAAATACTTCTGAGTTTTCATGAAATTTGTTCTTCTTTTTCCCATATACAACATTTCAAAACAAGTCCAACACTTAATAAAATTATCCAAATTAATGGGATCTATATATTGCCTGTGGTGATACCGGATATACAAAATATGGTGCGGACATGTCAAACAAGTAAAAAAAATTAAAAAGAAGTTGCAATAATATAGAGTGGCTGTATAAACCTTTCAAGCATCCACATCTGAGGAAATTCCATGGCAGCTTTTATGAATGTCTTTCTAACTTCCTTCAGCACAGAGAGATAAAATGGTTGCTGCTTGCCTAAAATGAAAAGAATCACGGAACTAAAGAAATTAATGATACCAACTGCTCATCATACACTGATTTATTTGTAGTGAATTGGATGCAGATACTGCCCCATTGTATACAGCAGGAAGAGAGGTGGCTATACTCCACCATCATCTTTAGACCTTTGGAAGCAAGTTGAACAAGCCTCCAACTTTGGCCCTGGAAAATACAGGGGAAGCATCAATAATATCTTCAAAATGAAGCTCCCTATGATGCCAAATGGTATGGAGGACACCAAACTATTTATAAATAGAGCCAGAACAGTCTTAAATCAGAAGCAAGAAAGCATAAAGCAGCTGTGTATTACCAAATTTGTTCCAAAATCAACTAAAAATATTTTCTAGCACTGGAATGGAACAAAAGGGAAAAAGAGACAGATATGAAAGAAAGGGATAAGAAAAAAATAAGCATTAAACTCTCATTTGTCTTCTATATTTTCATACAAGGATAGCATTTGAAATTCAAATAAGCTGTACCGTGTAGAACAAAAGTAAATTGAGGTACAAAAAGCGACTAGCTGGAACTTATCACCCCAGTGATGCATAGGTAATGCCTTGCAGTAAATAGATGTCTCATGCCTGAAACGCCTTTGGTCCTTGTTTTCCTTATAAATGCTTTGCATAAAATTAACAAAATCATTTGCTTGTGCTATTCCAAAAATCCTTCACCATTTGTATTATTTGACATTGGAAGAATACACTCATCAAGCCTTCAAAAATACAACTGGAAGCCCAAATAATTTTTTCTTGGTGTCGCCAATTAAATTATTAATTGATCCTCTTTGCATAAGAGGACCCTTTTTAAAAACTGAAACAATATTGAAAATAAGAAACATTTATACTGCACAAGCCCATGTAACACCAAAGAAAGAGAAAATCAGAAAAGCAGTTAACACCAGGATGGACCTGAAAAGCCTTCAATTTCTAAATTTCATTCCTCTATAAGAGTTTATGGTACATACATTTGAGAGGTAACAGTAACTGAATATCTAGATCACCAAACAAAAAAAAAAATTGACTATCTAGATCACTACAGATTGAATTTTCCAAAACAGGAGTTACAAAATATAACAACTCACTTTTCTTGTTGCAATATTCTGACCTGTGAACTATTAAAGAAAGGATAAAGAGATCCTACTGGGAAAAAAAAACCTGTTAACCAGGAAATACTTTCTTGTCAACTAATAGTATTGTTTGGTTCAGCTGAAACTAGGTTCCGTAGCTCCCTCAAATGTTCATCATTTGAAATGTGGAGCATAAGACGGAGATTTGTTAGTAAAGCTTCTTGTTCCCAACTTAAGGGTCCAGAAGCATATAATGCCTCCACAGTGCAACGGTAGGCATGCAACTCTAACTTATGAACCTCTGCTGTCAATTCCTCTTTCATGGGAAGGGAACTTTTTTTGTCATATCCCCATCCACAAGAAGATTCAGCATCAGTAGAATGGTTGGGCAACTCATGGAAACTGATGCTATTAACACTACAACTACCAACAGAGCAAGTACTATTCTCCACATCATTAGATGCCAAGCTTCCTGCAATAAAACACCTGATATTGCCACTTGGTTTTCCCTTCTTGAGATCCATTTCAGAAAATCCAGTAGTTCTGTTGTTAAAGGAAGCATGCATGTATTTTTCACCCATCATTTCTCGTGGGGAAGCAACAGCATCTACCTTTTCATGTAATGGAGGTGGATTCCCTGGAACCAATCGTTGACGTCTACCCGCTTTTTCAATGGCWCTAATTTTGAAGCCCATTCCTGCATATGCTTCAGCATAAGATGAACAATAAGGTGATCCTCTTTTTAAGGTTTTCGAGGAAACCATATGGGACTCCTGGTAACCAACATTGTCCTCAACAGGAAAAGAATCATCCCCTGCATGAAGTTTCATCTCTGAATATTTTTGTGGCTCCTGGAAGGTTGACTTCTTATAATACTTCATAGTTGACAGTTCATTATTTTTACCATCTTCACAATTCACAGAACCCTGCATGCATAATTAAAAAATAAGTAATCAATCTAAAGAAGACATGAGGCCATAAAAAAGTGGCTACATGAATGTCCTACTTGTTATATACCAGATACTTAAAAAACCCAAAAGGAGAAAAAAAAAAAAACAACAGAGACATCAATAGAAACCTAGGAACAATTATAACAAGGTAATCACCAGATCAAACCACATGAACACAACGGACTAAAATCAACTTAAGAATAATCTAAACAATATTGAAATGCCCACACTCTTGAATGATGGTATATTGGTATGCGAAAAATCAAATAAGAAACCACTTATGAATCTTTCTTAGATCATGCTTGAAAATATAAAGAAAATAGGAAAAAAATCCCTTCAAAAACTTTTTTAAACTTTGATACACAAATGACCACCATTATGGAAAAATAAGCTGCAGGATGAAACAAAATCAAATAAAAATTACCTTTCCAACTACAATCCACTTGTTATTTTTCCAAGACTGCCGCACCCTGATGTCAGATTTATGGACCTTGAATTCCTGGGAGGATCCAAGAAGTCTGACTAAAAAGTAGTTCCCACCGATAACTTTGGAAATTATTGAAATTTTCCATGAGACATTGTCAAACACCTCTACAAGGTCACCTTGCATCCAATTATCTGCACCTTCTGATTGAGGAGGACATGGCCTAATGGCTTTTCTGGAAACTCGGTCAACAACCGCCTCTTCGGTGATGCCTGACGATACATCATATTTAACATCATAATTGTGCCCATTCCCAGAGATTATTTCGGCACAACGCCATGAGCCAGAAGGCACCTCCTTTTTGCTCAAAACTTCAACCTTACTCCCTTTCTTGAATCTCATGATGGTAGTACTATAACACAAACTCAAGAACCTATCACAACCCAAAATCAAATTCACTGTAAGAAAAGAAACATAAGAGCATAACCAAATAAGACTAATTACATGATGACGAAGATCATGAAGATAATTCGATTAAAATAAGTCCACGCAGTCAATAATCAATGATCTTCACGATCATGATCATGATGAAAAAGATTCTGAGGATAATTCAATCTATACTGTGGAAACTGTGTACAAGTCTACGTAGTCAATAATCAAAAGACGAGGATGACAAGTTCAGGTGATAAAATCTACAACTATGAACAGAACAACCGACCAGAGGTAGGAAGCAGAAATACCTCGAAGAAAATAACACTTAACAAAAAAACTATATTTTTCTATAAATATCAATAACAGCCATAACTCAAAAGAAATAAACATAAATTTTAAAGAAGAAGAAGAAGAAGTTTACTTATATACAACTATCAAAAAGAAAAGCCAGAAATAAAAAGGCAACAAAACATAGATAAATACAAAACCTTTTTTAGAAACTTCTTCCCGTAATGCAAAAGAAAATAAAGCGGAGTACCATCCATCACACAAACCAAATCACCCCTAAGATCTCCTGGCCCTCTCAGAAACAAAGAAAACTGCTGAAAACAAACCCTAACAAGATGAAAAACTATCCACACTCGCACGCAACAGATTGGAATATCAACGAGCACAAACAACACTACTACCACATACAGACGCCAAAATAACACAAATGACAATCAAAGGACCATCCTCAACGTGCAAATGAAATCAAACTTCTCTGCAACAGATTCCAATCTCCACCAAATAACAGAGACAAAATAAAACTGGACTTAACGCAGAAAAAAAAAATCCAAAACTTAAATTATTGAACCCTCAAAACTTGATCGAATTGAAGAACATAGAACGCAGGAATTTTCACTAACCTTCTGCGATGAATTTCTTCGTTGCTGCGACGTTCGATCTCAGAAATCTTCTTCCTCTTCTTCTTCTTCTTCTTCTTCTTCTTCTCTCTCTCTCTCTCTCTCTCTGCGATGTTTCAATCTTTTTTTCTCTAGAAAAATTTTCTTATTCTCTATTTGTTTTTGTGTGTGTGTCTCTCGCTTTGATGGAAATTTATTAAATTGGACTTTGTCTTGGATTTGAAGTCCGCTCATAATAAACAACTGACATAACGAATTATTTCTACCAAAAAAAATTGATAACGAAATAACGAATTATTCAGAAAAAAAAATAAATGAATAAATCGTTTGCCTAATATGCGCCCACACTAATAAGAAGGTGAAATTAGTTCTGTTTCGACGGTTGTGATGATAACATCTTTTTTTTCCTCACAGGTGGCAGCTGACGAATGAATGCTTTTGTTTTGATGTAAAACGTATCAATGATACGTGGGAGCGCTCACAATAGAAAATACAGTGGGAGCCTTACGTGTTATCGATCAGTGGCTCCGTTATTTCAGTGTCCTAATATCGGGCCGGGAGTGATGAGCACGTCTGGATTGACTCTTCTTGCCTCGGTGCGAGCGCTCCTGTCTAATCATTGTTATACTTGGGAAAATGTCAAGATGAGAATCATGAGATGTATCAAGGTTCCGTTTGGTTGCACACTTGCATTTCATACGAAAATTACTTTTATTCTAGTTTTTTCATAAGCTAATTTTCAACTTTGGTTTGATCCTCTCTTATTCAAATCTTGTGATATTTATATTTTTTTATACATTCAAATATTATAAACATTTGCTTTTCTTTATTTTACACCAAAATTAATGGTGCATCATCATTTATAATGTGCAGTAAAAGGCATGATTCGTTATAATATTAACAGACTTTAATTAATTGATTGAGATGTATATTTAACTTGAAATGAACATTAGTAAATGTATTGTAGCTAAATATTTATTTTATTTACATGCAATAAAATATCAGTGTTATGAAACTTGGCCCAAAGGTTGAACTATTTTTTCCCTCTAATAATGTGATGTTATTAATATAAAATGTGTAAAAAAATAAAATAATATAAAAATTTGATAGATCAAATGGGTCAATGGTTCAAGCATCAGTGTTTGATCATTGATTGGATTGGCAAGTTTGGCAGGTTTTGTAATATAGCAGGTTAGAGATTAACCCAAGCTGGGATTGTGATGAGGACATCAAGTTTAGTGGTCTGACTGGTTGAGTCAAAGAAGGGTTGAAAAAATGGAAAAATACTCAGTTTTTTGGATACAGGGTTGTTCAAGAGCTAAATTAAAAGTTGATTTGTTAAAATTTGAATTTGAATTGAGTCTTATTTATTGGATCAAAATATTTTATATTATAAACAAATTGAGCTGGAAGTATGCAAATAAAATAAAATAGCTCCTATGTAATGGACCTATTTTGTTTGGTAAACATATAGCATCCAAACCAACTTTACTAGATCATTCAACTTATGACAAATGAATATCATTTATTCTTGTTGGTGTTTGGATGGACTTTCTTTGCAGATGAYTAAACCATTTTGATCCAATTTCCATCATTTTATCATCTATTAGAGCTATTCATGGGTTCTTTCAAGTAAATTCATTCTCATGATATCACTTTTCCTTCCATATTATATACTCAATATATTAATTAATTGGACAATAATGCCTATTTAACTTTTTTGTGGCAGAGAGCATAAAAATAGTCATAATCATTCATGCACTCAAAATCAAAATAATGCTTCAATTGGAATATTTTATCATTTAAGTATCGGAACTAATTTGATCTCCATAGTTAATTAATGTTGCGTTTGGAAATGATGCAAATGGAGTGTAAATCCTGGTTTAAGGTAAATTTGCAGTCTAATTCACTTTTCCTTGTGTTTAGCAACATTACATTTATGCATAGACAAATAATAGAAAACACATTTTTCCGATGCATATTTACATTGATAATAAAATGTAAAAGTACAATAAAAAGGAAGTAAATTTGCATTCAAGTGGGCTTTTGATAAAAAAAAATGCATATGTTTTATTGGAATTCATGTTTGCATCCATTACAGCTAAAAGTCTATTTGGTAAGAAGGTAAATTTATCAATGCAAAAACTAACCCAACCAAGGTTCAAAGTATCAACATGTATTAGCCCGTATCGACCGATACATATCATTCCAGCACCCACCGAAGTGGGTGTATCGGTGATTTGACCGGTTCAGGGTGTGGCGAAGACCTAAACCAGCTCCCCTGAACCAGTTGGTGAAAAAAATAAAAAAAAATAAAAACCACCAAAATGAGTACCGATTTGCCCAAGTATCAATATTTTGAACCTTGAACCCTCCTTTGCAATTTTATGAACCATTTTACACTCTACACATTTGCATCATTTCCAAACGCAGCCTAAGAAACTACACAATGAATTCACATCTATGCCCCACAAAACATCCCAACCTATTGGGAACATCTCCTAATGACAACTATATGAGATGCTCCCAATGCACACTAAGATGCGCTCGTGGAGTGTGCTCTATGGGGCGCATATGTGAACTCCTACACAACTCTCTCTCTCTCTCTCTCCCCCTCTCTCTCTCTCTCTCTCTCATAGCTATCCATTTATTTGTCCATATATGTGTGTGTACATCTTTACACTATTATGTCCATACTTGTCTTGGCTTTATATCCAGACCACCATTATTTCAGGCTTCATATCCACACCACCGTTATTTTAATCCATTTATTTTTCTCCATCCACAATCTCTCTCTCTGTCTCTCTCTATCTATCTATCTAATAATATTAGATAGATAGATAAAGAAAATGTAGATCAATGATCAAGTAGCCAATGACCTCTATTTGGGCATCATGGTTTTCAACTAATGTTGCATTAAAATAATTAGCCACAGCAATGTTTTTGCCAAATGGGCAAATCTCATGTTTATGAGAAAATCTACGAGGTGGGAAAGACATTGTATGGAAAGAATTTTGACCAATCAAAATCTACTCATGAATTTTGATAAATAACACATACCACGTCTATGATTTCAGTTGACTGGTCATAAGTTTTATAGATATCATATCATTCCCATATCATAGTCAAACCCCATGTTTATTTATGCGTTAGTGCAGAAACACCTAGGCAATGTCATGTTGTAGAATACAAAAGGCTATTTGGCTACAACTTTTGAATTGTTCTATGCGCAATAACTTTTTTATGAAAATAGAAATGTAACAACTTTGTAGTTTTATGGCATGGCATGTATATCAACCTGTTTGAAAGACCCCCTACGATCAACCATTTGCAATTGCATTTTTACTCCAATTTATATATGTATTCATATACACAGTTTGTTTGCATTGCAGATTTCATTTGCACTGGTGTAAATACATTGAAGTGCATATAGGTTGGGTGTAAATTCTGGTTTGCTTTTGATTCATATTTAACTTTGTCTTATTTGTTTGTGAAAAGTAAAATAATTAATGTGATTCCCAGCTTATATGAATGAGAATAGGGTTATGTGTTTGAGAGTGAGGTAAGAAGCAAAGTGATGTGATCCCCATTACACATGTAATAGAATTGAGGTAAGAGGAAGGTGATACAAATCTTGCATCATTTTTTTAGAATGTAAAATTTGCACTGCCAATAAGTGCAAATGAAACTACAGATACAAAATTTTGTAGCAGATAGAAGTGCAAATCATAATTACAAATAAATAGATGCAAAAAAGGACCTTATGCAAAATTTGTATTCGGCTAAGGTTTTCACCGCAAACAAACAGAGTCTGAATATTGCCACATTGCAAAGAAACCCATATGTTATTAATAATTCTTACAAGAAAATTCAAATAACAACAACACTCTAATGAAGTTCTTTTAGATCAGATGATAACTAAAATTCATAGTGGAACTAGGAAGCCAATTTTGCAATCATAAGTAGGATGTTAGCATTTAAGAATTGGGTAGAATTTTTTTTTTTTTTTTTTTTTTTTGTTTCGAACCCCTTGGAACCACGTTTTAAAGGAACTAGAATTAATCAAGAGATGGGAATGATTTGGTAATGACTGAAGTGGCTGAATTGTTTTGTCTTTTAATGGATAAAATTATTAAATAATAAATATTTCAGTTTATAGTGCTCAACCTCAACCCAACTTTAGTTTTAGCCATCAAATTAATGAGATCGCAACTAGGCTTGTGGGATGATATATTTATGTAATCAGATCGGATTTAGATTTGACCCCATCCAATCTAATTAAAACCCAGTTTCAATTATATTATAATATTCATTGATTTTAATGTATAAATCTTATATAATTATATTTAAAATTACAAAAATATATTTTATATATTATATTATATACGGATAACAGATATATATATATAATTCAGTATGTTATATTTACATTTATTTATTATATATATAAATTAAAAATAATTAATTTTTAATTGTTTTTAGTCATAAACTATATATAGGGTAATTTTATGATAATGGAAGTCAGCAGTGGAACGAAGAATTTTCTTTCAAGGGGCTGAGTTATATAGAATTCTTTTTTGGTTTATGGTAATGAAAAAATTATGTTAAGTCCATTACATTATACAGGTTTGCAACATAAAACAACACAAATATTGTTACAAGAATTCAAATGCATAAATGATACAAGGGATGAAAGGATGACTACCATATCTTTTGGTTATAAGCTTTGTGGCAACTCCCAATCTTGTAAGTACTAATTCTCAATGTAATTGACTTATTTTTCCCATGGTTTATCTTTTTGGCAAAAACAAGAAAATGAGATCGGAAGTAAAAGGTGTAGGGTTTGAAGAGAAATAGGGCAAGAAATTTTGAGTCTATTATGGCTTTTTATGAAAGAAAAATGAACTTTTTTTTTATTTTGGGAGTTAAATGAAGGGTTAGAGAACAATCCTTAACATTTTAATAGGATTTTTCTGTTTTGGGGGAGGGGGCAAGGATCCACTTTATTACCATTTACTGCCACCTCCAACCACTGACTATACAACTAATATTGTTTATAAAAAATCAAAATATTGTTTACAAAATATTTGAAAATATAATATTAAATGAATGTATCAAATCC